TGGATGGATGATTCTGAACATCCATACATAATAATGCAACAAACAAATTCAAACTCTCGTATTTCATTACCAATACCACTTATATTTTGCCATATTATCATGTCTTTGTTTTTGCCCGTACTAGTGCGAGAAAAAATTGCCCGTACTAGTGCGAGAAAGAATTTCCCGCAATGTTGCGGGAAAATGATACTTTCCAAACTAAATTGCGCGCGGGTAAAGGGTGAATCACGCACGCTTGTAGAAAATAGTTATTTACGTAACAAGTCCGGAAAATAACATTATTTTGGACAAGTAGACAAAATTTCAGGCCGAGCCGTAGGCGAGTCCTGGTAATTATCATCAATCTCAAAAATTAATATAGCCTACTACAATGAGAATTTATAATTCCAAAATACCAAATACTTATAGGAAGTTCAAGAACTATGGATTGTATTTCTGAAATTTTATGTTAAAAATAAAGTATATTCCTCTGCATTGTGATATTGTCATATTAAAGATATTGTTATGATCATGTGATGAAAAGCTTCTCATTTTTTTAAGCGAAAACCGTGCATTAGATCTAAAAAAAATTTGTAATCAATTTTGCTTAGAAATAATTGAAAGTTTCAGGAATGTGGCGTACCATCAATGTCTACCAAAATAGGTATGTGAAATTCCATACGAACGCCACTGGTGGCAACCAAAAAAATGTGAATCACTTAGTGATGCCTCTTGCTACATAGTACATGTATGCCAAATTTCATCAGGATATCTGGAGTGATATAAAAGTATTGATTTTTTGAGAATTTTACCACTCTATATCTCAAAAGTTAGGACCTTTAGGTCATTCGTTCATATGAAACTTTTTTCTTAGAATGGGCCCAAGAATCGCTTCCTCAAATATTGACATTCAATTATAAAACACCCTGTATACACCGGTAGGAATTGCGAGAGTATAGTCCATCCCCACCCCTCCACTTTTCTACCAACCACGCGACTTGACTAACCAATCAGAGGCCAGTTTGAGGCCCACTCGCATTCGGTCCTATCCCCATATGTTAGTCCAAACAAGACGCCCTTAGCCTATGTCCCAACAGTGATGACTCTTCCTGAATATATCTGCGTTCACCTTTAACCGATATATTTTTCATGTCGCAGTATTCGTCTGAGCAGGCAAATTGAAACGTGAATTTATTCTTGCAGTTCGGATTGTATGCTAATCCCATATTCAACGGAGACTATCCAGAAGTGATGAAAAGCCACATCAAAAGACGCAGTCTGGCACAAGGTTTCCAGAAATCTCGGCTGCCCGAATTCACGCCCAAAGAAATCGAGTACATAAAAGGTACTGCAGACTTCTTAGGCGTTAACATGTATTCAGCTTCTCTTGTTGCGGCAAAGCAAAACCAGGACGTAGACGGTATGGGATTTGATCATGACGATGAAGTCAAAGTATGGTACAGCGAGAGCTGGAAAAAAGGCGCATCTCCTTGGTTGGTGGTAAGTACGAGAATTCATATTTGTCATCCCTCCTGATGTAGATTGATAAAAGAGATGTAATATTCATTTTTTGAGATTCACCTTTCCTGTCTTTAGGAATAAAAATATGATTATTAGTCTTAGAACATTTGAAATCTTGCTAACGGTTATATGGGCTACTAGTAGTAAACTCAGAAACACGCCAATATTGTGAAGGATGAAAATATTCGCATCCTCAGGTGGAAGTTGTGAGGACGCATGCATTTATGACGACGATTTCCAAATCTGAAGATAATCTTAAGGCACGTGAATGACACCTGTCAAGATTGAATGCAGTATTCTCATGATTGTTTCAACTCAAATGTTGATTCCAATTAGATAGAACAGTTATAGTATATAACGTAATACAGTGTGACCCACTTCTAATGGAAACACCACTGTATCTTACGTAATAGTTGGGTAAGGATCCTGGAATTTGCCGGAGCGAGAGATACACCAGGAATTCACTCGCCAACAGCCGTGGAGTTACTCCAATTTCCGGAAAATGATATTAGGTGTCAAAATTGGTCGAAAATCACTTCAGATTCGGAATCCGGACGCCCAATTCACTAACTATTCATATTTTTCCTAGGAAATTTTCAGTTGTGAAGAATTTAATTTTGTCGCACTTTTCACGGAAGCACCCCCGTATCTTACGTGATTGACTTTATCTTTGGACTCTCCCTTCCTCCTGCAAATTTCAGAACCCTACCCCAATAATTACGTGAGATACGGGGGTGCTTCCATGACAAGTGAGACAAAATTTAATTTTTCTGAAGTGAAAATTTTCTAGGAAAACTGTGAACAGTTAGAGAATTGGGCATCCTGATTCCGAATCCGTGGTGATTTTCAACCTATTTTGACTCCTAATATCATTTTCCGGCAATTGGGGTGGTTCCATGGCTGTTGGCGAGCAGTGTATATCACTGGAGATGACTTCACTTCGTCATAGAGTGCATTTTTGGTATATCTCTCGCTCCAGCAAATTTCAGGATCCTTACTCAACGATTGTTACGATTATATAGAAGTGGGTCACACTGTATATGGATTAGATTGAGAAGATTTCTTGTGAGTTATTTGCTTCATCAACTTCCCTGATGGAGTGTCAATAGACGATGACAATTCACAAAGCTATTTAACCGACTAGTATATTAATCGCCTTTTAATATGCGAGTTGGTTACAAAATTTTTCCGTCGACTATATTTCTCATTTCTCCTGCAATGAAGAAAACTTGGTTCGCGAATTCATCATTCATCCGGAAACTGCTGAGAATCACCCAATAGCCTTGTTACTGACATTAGTGAAGTTTGACATTTGTGGAAATGATCAACACACAAAATAAATTCCTTGTGTTAGAAAACAGGGATTAAAATCGTGTCAGAAACTTGGAAAGGCGAACCCGTTCACGGAAAATCTTCGATGAAATCCATATTTGCGATTAGTGATTCACACGAGACCAACGAGACGAGACTTTCATAAAGTCTCGTCTCGTCTCGCGGATGGAATATGAAGTCTTGTCTCGAGTCTCGTCTCGCACCCTCGAGTCTCGTCTTGTCTCGCGTCTCGTACGAGAGTCTCGCAAATGTATCGCATTTCGTCATGCATAATCTTGTTCCAGTCTAGTACGGGATATTTATCTTCACCTACTTTTTAGGTGTAATGTAGAAGTAGGAAGAGAAAATAACAACAAAAATAACATTTTTTGAGAAGGAACATTCTCAGATATATTTATGGACACAAAAAATGGATATACCGGGTGTCAACGAATCTATTAGACAAGTCATAACTTCTAGACCATTAGGTGTATAAAAATGAGATTTGGTATAGGTAAATGGTATGTGAAGAGGAGAGTTTTCACATATTTTTTACTTTCCGGTTACTTCCGGATTCACCGGAAATGGCTCTGGTTCTAAATTTGTGAAGGGAGCACCCTGTATATTGTAATATTTTTGGATTTCTGAGACAATTCTAGATCAAAATGTGACATTTTAGAAAGTTTTAATGCCTACTTAATTTTTTCGGAGTCACTTTTGAAATTACATCTAGGTGGCCATGATCGGAAGTGAATTGATCTATAAGGACCTCAGAAAATTACAAACGCGGGGTTTTAGTGATAAGTATGATAAGACAAGTTGGCAAAATGACATTTTCATGTCTAACTATTATTTTTCAAATGTCGACCATTTTTTGACAAGCACTTTCCGAAAAAAGGACAAGAGAAAAAACATAGCATTATATATTCGAAAGTTATAAAAATAAAATAAAATGTTTTGTCTATCTGTGCGAAATAGTCTGAATTCTTTCTAAATATGTTTTATTATATGAATGAAATTCTCAAGTCTGCAGTCGGCACGCAGAAATATTTACCTGCGAGACTCTCGCACGAGACACGAGAAGTCTTGCACGAGACTCGAGACGAGACCAATAAAAGTCTCGTCTCGTATTGTCCGAGTCTCGTCTCGAGTCTTGTCTCGAAAACGAGACGAGACCATGCGAGACTCTCGAAAACGAGACTCTCGCGGGCACCACTATTTGCGATTTAAATGCAGATTTCGTAAGTTATAGCATAAAAAATGAATGCACGCGGTGTATGTTTGGTTGCCTATAAAACAGTCGAGCATTGATAGACAAATCGTTCATTAATATTAGGGGTCATTAATGAACGATTTCATATACATTAAACTTGGTCGTTAATACGAGGTCGACGGAAAAGGAGTATTTATGCATCTTAGTATTGAAAACGTGAGCCAATTCCTTCCTGAAATCATTCTCACTGAATATTGATATTCTCATTCATAGAGACGAAGGAAGAAATATCCTAAGATCTTGAGAAACTGATAGTTCTAATATTAATCGGTTGCTTCACTTCGAATTCCATTGAATAATCTTGAAATTTAATCAAATCTGTTGGCTCTGAAATCTCATAACAGTGGATGTTACTTAGTATTCGAGAATCATGTTCAATACTGATTGCTGATCCACATCATGGAGTACCTACAAGAACACATAGCACTATCTCAAGTCATCAGATATTCGAGTCCAGCATATAGTGCTGAAACACCTTCAAGTTATGAAAATCATCAACAATACTGAACACCGATCATTCCATGGGTAGAATGTTGTATAATCAAACAAATATAGAAGCAGTTCAAAGTTGGTATTATTTTCATTGCATTCATATCAAAAACCCTTCAGTAGAAATTTTTGTCATTCGTAAGACGATCCAAGTTATTTGGTACCATGATTTTATAACCTCATGAACATTGTATGTTTCAATTTTTAATTCAGGTCACACCATGGGGAATGCAGAAGCTCTTGAGGTGGATCAAAAACCAATACAACAATCCAAGAATGATAGTAACTGAAAACGGTTATTCTGACTATGACGGTACACTGAACGACGATGACAGGATAAGTTACATCCAGGTTCGTATAAGTTTTGAAATCTATTTCTTTATAATTATGCATAAAATAAATTTATTTCATATAACCTAAGAATCTATTGAGATACACATATATTTTTTTAAGACAGATCATAATGATATTCATGAAAAACGATATAATTATTATCCTACTGTCATACCCATGCATAACTTATGATCTCGTTTATCTCCCCAGCCACCATTTCCTTTGCTTGGTTTAGTTTTTTTCGGTACTGTGGAATACGTCAGTATCAAACGATCTGGGTAAAAATATCGTCTTGAAAGTTTCAGCACTTGCTGCACTTTTGAAATCACAGAATTCGATCTGCAATTATTTTTCCTATGGTGGAATCCACTGGAATGAAAAACATGTAATTATTTCTACACACTAATTGAAATAACGAGAAGAATCATCGTTCGTGAAGTCAACATTGGTGAATCAATACTTCGGTGAGTTGGTTACCAGGGATACTCAGGGTGAGAATGTTAATACATTACCATTCACCAATATGGAATACTCTTGGTGCGACAGCAACCATGACATGAAGTTTTTGCTTCAAACATTTCTCAGAAACTTGCTGTAAAGACCAGTCCCAATTGTAATCATCATATCCACAGAAGAAGCTTGCACAGTCCACAATCTGCATCCAAGTTGATCGATTGAATGCCATTCCCATATTGTGTTTGCCGCCAATCCACGGTGAAATTTCTACCTGCAGTATCATGTATTGATCAACAAAAATTACCATCATTTAGCCTCAATTTACCTTCTTGGAATTTGCGTAGTAGTTGTAGGTCTTCATATACGTTCCGAGAGAGAAAACATTACAATGCCTACAAGATACTTTAGATGTTTTCTCCATTAGTCTCAGCATATGGATGAAATCTCGGCCAACATAGTGATCTTCTTCTAGCATCAAAATCAAGCCTGAATGATTCCTGGTGACCTCGAGTTGCTTGAATACACGATTGGCTTTCCACCACCAATGGTGTTTGGTTTGAGTGAATTTGGCTTCACGATAATGACCGTGCACGTCAGGAGAAAGGGCGTTATTACATTTCTTCTGTACAGCACTGAAATGATCTCTTACATTACGAGTGTTGAAAAAGCTATATTCCACACGAGTGTTCTGTCGAATGTTTTTTGTGACATACAGGGTGGGGCATTATTGCGTCGGAGCTCGTTTGCTCGAGTTCTATGATAGTTAGAAACTTGATTCTGAAACTAATGGTCCATGATTAGAAATCATTGCCCCATATACTGGGGGCACCAGAAAAAATCTGGAGGATCAGGATCACTTCTTTTGAATGGAACTCCCTATATACAGGGTGTCCCTGGACCAGTGGGACAGTTGAATATCTCCAGAATTCTCAGTTTCAGTCAGAATTCTACACCACCCTGTATTTGTTTCAATTAAATACGAGTAAATAGTAAATCAAAAGTTGAGATATGGACATGTAAGCCGTTTTGACCAATAATGAATAGTTTTGACACAAAAAATTCCCAAAAATGAAAAATCTCGATTTTCCATACCCTATATCTCGGAAATCATTCCCGCTGGACCCCAAGTGTGCTAGGTCGTTGAAGTCAGCTCTTCAAGGAGAATATAAAAATGCAATGAAATACAGGATGTTCCATTTTAAAAAAGTGATCCTGATCCACCTCTAGATTTTTTACGGCGCCCCCTTTATATGCGGCAATAATTTCAGTTATGGACCTTCTTGTCTCATTCACATTCGTTTTGAATCTTACATCTTATTGTAGATTATTTCAATTATAAAGCTGCTCGGCCGAGTCAACCAAGGTCCATAACACATTTCATGGAATTATCAATTTCATCCAACCATGGACGTCCAACATAATATCTCGATAGAAAGCTATGTTCCTCATTGCTTTTCCAGATTTCTTGCTATTTTAGGATGATCTTCATCCGGTGATATACAAGGGCCTATATCGCTCAAATAATTCGCAACGATGCGAAGGTGTTCTTAGAAATGTGTGATTCCTGGATGTTATCAGTACCTTGGCACCATAGAAGTGATTTTTGACTATATATCGAAATCATTTTGGAGACTCAGAAAGGGTTTTCATTGTAGAGGAACGATGAAAACTCTTTCAACTTCGAGAAAACGTTATATCAATGTACCTCATATACCGATATCTTGAGTCTATTATGACTTTCTCTAGATGTAGGGAAGAATTCCTCACAAGCCTCAAAGTAGCAAGTAGTGTTCTTGCATAAAGTGAAATGGAAATGAGGAATGAAATGAATTTGTTTGATACAGAATATGGAGAATATAAGTTATTGAAATCATTATTCGTATTTACGGAGAATTCATCGAGAATAGTTAAACTTTCTCAAACGATTTTTCGAAAGATTACTAATCCTACTTAATCATGAAAATAGCAAGAAATTGATCTAATTCTTCTCTTACTGAATCTCGCAAATTATTTCGATTCAAGAATAACAGATTTATCGATGCGAGGTGCAAAGAAATAATAAAATCAAGAAGATTCTATACATATTATGAGAACAGCTAGACCTAGTTTAGTTAGTTTCAGAAAAGGCAATTAAAGATCATCTTGAAATAACACAAGGATTCTTGGAAAGCAACAACAGATATAACTTCTGATCTAAAATAACGACGTTGATATCCATTTTCCGTATAATCAGGTGTGCCGCCATCTTGAGAATATTTTTATTGAACAGGACCCAATATCGATAACCTATGTGAACAAACTTCCAGATCGGTATAATTCTGTAGAACTCCAAATACTTTCATGTCATCACAAGATACAGACTTCATCATCTCAATATTTAATACTCACTGTTCCTTTTTCATATCACGAGGGCAATCTTCTGGATCTTCACCAGGAAATTCTTCCGGATGTGCTTGGATAGAATAGGGATAAAATATTTGTATCACTTTGCAAAAATCGATGCTTTGGACTAGGCTATTCATTTGTTCATCGTAATAATCATGTGAGAAAACGAGAAGTGTATGAGATATACCAGGTGCTTGTGCTAGACTTACTATCAGATATCTGAGGTAATTGATCCGATCATGAATCTACAAATATAAGAATTGAAAACTTCGTCATTTCCTCTTTTTCAATATTTACCTGTACAACAATGACGATGGAATCGTTTTCAAGTGATTGGAAACTGTTTCCATTCAGAACCCTCTGCTGCAAATTATACTGCGCAATTCTCTCTTTGATATATGATATATTTAGTGTACTAATGTTAGAAATCTTATCGTCACTTCCGTTACTATTGGTTCGGGTGGAATTAGTTGGTTTCAATGATAAAAATTTGTGAAGTTCTGCTGGGATCATACTTAAAATAGCTTCGTCACTGTCGTTGGTATCTAAGTTTTCAGAAGATTTACTAAAACTCAGTAAAAGATTCAATTGAAAGTACATAAAGACCAAGATCAAAATAACCAAGCCACCACGAATCCATGATAAACTACATGTGATCTGATGAGACGTCAGGCTCCATGTCTGACTGCTTTCACTGCTCATGGTGAAACATATTCAAACCTATATTGACACTTGATAGAAATTTCATCCCAATTCACATTGGAAAATACTGAATTTGATTTCTGGTTCACCTGATTGTAGGTAATAACCCTCAGAATGATTTTCTGCAGTTGATGGTAGCTGAAAATAATATTTTGAAATACATTGATGATGTGAATAATTCTACAATCGTAGTCGTCTCTCTTCTGCTAAGCAAGTCGATGCGTTGGGCAGATGCACTCAGCAGAAAAACACAAAAAAAATAATATCAAGCAGGAGTTCGACGTCAAGGAATATGTTTTTATCTTGCCCTTAGGGAATGTCACTAGTAGCTAATAAGAAATTATTGTATATGAATATTCTCCAAAAAGTGAATAAGTGTGAGTTGATCATGTGGATGATTGCGAAAGTCAACTGGTAATCAACTGATTTATGGAACATGCAAAAAAACTCTGAAAATATACCTCCAGAGGTTATTATGATGAGGGCATAAAATGATATCATATCATGTTCCTCACATGAATAATCCTACCTAGAATAAGAGAATATACTCACATTCTCATGAGGATGTGGTCTGCATCATTATTAAATTTGTTATATCTCACTTTCCTGTGATCTTTATTTTTGTATTCATCTATGAACTTGTCATAGAGAGAGAAAAAAGTTCTCAACTGTCACTACTGACAGGATAGATTTTTACCAAAACGTCAAAAATTCAATTGGCATCCCATAGGGAAGGGGTTTATACAGAGTAGTTCATTACTGGTGCTGTTATAAAAAATACGATGTATTTGATGACAGAGTCTAAATTGTCTGAACAATATCCAAGAACCGGCTACAAATTTTCACCGTCGTCTGATAACGAAATGAAATAATATTTCAAAGTCAAGTAGACACATTGTTTTTTATCGAACGGCAATTCGCTCTCAATTTCGCGATCTAATAACGAGATAAGAATCATGCCATTCAATATCAATTGAATGATATATCTCAGAAACGTATACCTGTATCCCCCTCAATCTGAGCCAATCCAATCTACCGAGCATACTTCCTTCATGTGATAACGAGTCGAAATGAGAAGCAAGTAAAAAAGGATATTGTCCTCTTTGCCCTTTCCAAACTTGCCTCGATTTAAACTAAGTAAGTGGCAAAGCTTCGATATGTCCTAGAATATATCGCCCCTCCCTAAGGATAATATCCGATGAACCAGTGTGAAACTCAACATGTGGATTAGAATACCTGTAGTGCTTGCACCACATGAGTTTTAGACTTATCCCTCAGATATTATCTCTCGACGGGGGTTAAATATTTTCGTAAATATTGACGCTCTTCCACTAACTTCGGATATTGGATATTCGCAAAGGGAAGATTATCCCCTTCCATTTGCTTTTTGTTCCAACTCTGTATCACATGACGGGAGTATGTCCGGAATAATAGGTTGTCGGTGCAGAAAAAACATATTTTTTCTGCAACCGACACAAAAGTCGTCCATTTTGATACCGAAATTAGCTCTTTAATTGACGTTTCTATTACTGACACAAAAATAGGTATGTTGCTAGCCAACATATTTAGTTCCTAGGAGCTGAAGTTGAATTTTAGTTCTATTATTCTTGATGATGTCCAGTACATCCTTGTTAGTTCCTAGGAGCTAAAGTTCAACTTTAGCTCCTAGGAACTAACAAGGATGTACTGGACGTCATCAAGAACAAACAACATTGTTAAGGTTGGTTATTTGGGTTGAGACACATTCATACCAGATTTGTTTCCGATTTCAGCAAATTTGGCATTTCATACCCATGCTGGAGATGTGAATACACCTTATTATAGTTTAGTATTGAAATTATAACCATCCCAGTGCAGTATTTCTGTTATGATCAGGGAAGCCTTCAAGATTCAAATATTTGCTTGATATGTATTTCATTCGTTATTCTCGGGATGGATAACTTGTTTTTGAATAATCACGGCAAGCAATAGTTTTTTTGTCCCAAACAACGATATTGTTCAGCTTCATTTGATTATCAAGTCAAACACAGTGTGTTATGGAGAGGAATAATATATCACTATTATCATTGTTCATATGCTCACTAACCTAACATTTTCCACGTCTTGTTCCTATAGCTGGCACTGGCGCGGTATTTGCCATTAGAGCACCTGGTCCATACACAAATATGTCACTCTGTGGTTGTATTTATATCGGAACTATAATTCGAACATCCTTGAAAACCTAACCTGCTGTTAATGCAGGTAGAATTTTCTCACCACATGGATTATTTGTCAATATTTGTTGCATTGCATACATATGGCACGGCAATGGTGGTTACTTCACATATTTATTTGAGTTAATTGTTTCGGTTGCAGAAAAAATAGCATGTTTCATTCGGATCAAAAGTGACTTTGTTCGACTCGCAAATTTTGCTTTCGCTCGGCTTCGCTAAAACAATCTACTATTGTTTATCTCTCGCATCAATTATTGATATTTCTATTTTTACAGGGATATCTCAGTGGTGTGAGGGATGCCATGGTTGAAGATGGAGTGAATGTATTTGGTTATACAGTATGGAGTTTATTGGACAATCTTGAATGGGTGTATGGATTCACGTAAGTATTATTACTTCAATTGGATGAGGGCAAACATTATTTACTGTCCACCAAACCGCACCACCGGAACAGTAAGTCAGGGTTATTCTCGTGTCATGTGGCCTTCTGGTCCGTCAAGGTGAGAATAGGGTATACGCGTGTGAAAATTTTACGCTGGAATTTTTTTGTTGTTTCATTACTCATATGTATAGATGTCGAATTATACATCCGAAAAACATTATTAAGCACTGAACATTTAATGATTTCTGATTGAAAATCATAATATTTGCAACTTTTCGACCAACAGCCGAACTGCATCGATGATTTCCGACTGGATGTGGCTGTTTTTATTTGTCATGTCAAACATTTATGTCCGAAAGATTGAAAATAATATAGGAAGAGAAAGTGAGGTTATGATTATCTGAGCTTGTAGTTTCTATAATCTATTTCAATTATATGATCTCAATATTCTGAATAATAATAACTGAATAATGAGCAAATATCTACAATAAGAATGATCAAATAGGACTTCTTATTGCATGTTGTTTCAAATATATATTACCACCTATCAATTTATATGTCATATAGTTTTCCATATCTTCTTCAAGCTGAAAACGAAATCACATATTATATTATTCTCCTAATAACATGAGGAACATAATCATTGATACATAATGGGTTTCACTAGGACATACTTGAACGTATACTCACTTCGAAATGGTCTTCACAAACAAATCCTCTGGTTTTCTCGGATGAATCATTTCTATTTATGGCTTTGCAACCATAATTTTCTTTTTTCTTTATTTTCATCACTCGATCCCACTGGCAATGAAAGGAATATTTTTCCTGGTGATACTTTTGTTGATGAAAGGCATTGCGGCACTAAAGAGTATTTGGTATAAACATTATCATTTTCCATTTTCAAATTTCAAATTTCTGGCGTTTAAAACTGTTTTCTCCTCCTTCCTCTTCTTCTTCTTTTTTTTTCAATCTGAATCTTGTCATTCTGTCGCGCTAGTCTATGGCTGTGCGGCCTAATACTATGACGTCATAATATTAGTGATGGCCACTAACCCGTTTTCCTGTGACTTCAGCCTTATTTAAATGAATTTTTTTAGAGTCACAAGCGAATTTGAGATGATTCAATGATATCCAATGTTATTATAAGGAAAAAGGAATATAATTTTGATTAAACAAAAAATCATGCGTATTCCTTATTGGTCGTGAAGATCAAAATTGAGATTAAAGGATCGTAAGATGGGTCACGTCATTCGATAACTTGAGGTTTCCAATTTGATCAAATATTATACATAATTTGTTTCGAATATTTCCGATGAAACAGGCCATAGCTTTCTGCAGGCCCGGATTACCCATAAGGCCAACCAAGGCCATGGCCTAGGGCGAACGCTTGCGGGGGGACGCAGTATACGGGAAAATCCGACATCACCTTACAAAGACTATCACATGACTGCCGCAGACTGCCTCGCCATCTTTCTCAATATGTTTTTTATCGTTTCTATTATCTGCTCACTTAAATTGCATATACAGGGTGTTTCATAGGTAGAGGGAAATATTTCAATGATAGATAGGGGTCACCAAGGTGGTTCTGAAAATACCATATTTGATAGGTCTTAGAGTCTTCATAACGGAGATACAGGGCGATTTATCGATTTCGAATAATTATTCATTCGTCTATATGTATTGACCTACCCAGTATATTTTTCTCAAATTCGGTAAGGAGCTTATACTTGGGACGTTAAATTTATTCACCTATCGGGCGGAGTGAAAATCCAGGTTCGGCTTCAGGAAAAATTCACATTTATTCGAAATATTAAAATAACACACTGTATTCAATAATTGACACAGTACATCAGAAGAATTGTGAAGAGGAGGAAAAACTGAATTGTGTATGATGCTTTTTGTTTTCCCGCCACCAATTCTCATCGTAACAATCATAAACAGAAAGTTGAAAGTATTTCAATTTGAAGAGTATTGGGATTATGAAACCAGTGTCAATCATGATTATTTGATATTTCAGTCAGAAAATCGCTCGAAAGAACTCACTAAGTCTCACATCAGTCTCTATAAGTCTCAAACTACCCAGTAATATTTTCTCAAATTTGGTAGGTATGTAGCTTACTTGAGACGATGGATTCATTAACCTATCAGGCGGAATGGAAATAATACCAAATAATTATAATTCGATAATTCACCCTCTATCTCTGTTATAAAGACTATGAGACTTTTCCTGAAGCTGAACCTGTATTTCCATTCTGCCTGATAGGTCAATGAATCCATCGTCCCAAGTAAGCTCAATACCGAATTTGAAAAAATATTACTGCGATGGGTAGTCTAATACTTATATGGACGAGTGAATAATTATTCGAAACCGATAATTCACCCTGTATCTCTTTTATAAAAACTGTGAGACTGAGTAAGTTCTTTCCAACGATCATTTAACGAGAATATATCAAATAATCATAATTGAAAGTGCACGGAGAAAAAATTTCATTGATCACAAATCAAAAACCACTTCTCCCAAGCGAAAACCTCAACAAAATAGGGGACGAGTGAACTATGCATTTGAAGCAAATAACTCGAAACTTTTGCCGAGGTAATAACTTTAATACTTACAATCAATAGTTCAAATATTCAACGTAAATTACCAATGATTTAAGATTATTTTATAGCAATAACTCTGTTCAACTAGGACTCATAACATATATGATGAACACAAATGGTCGCGTTTTTATATCAAGTGATTGGCATTTGCTTCAAGTGACCATAATGTTTAATCTCAAATCATATCTCAATTAGCTCTCAGCATCACCTTCATTGCCCATTAATGTATGTTTCATTCATGATGTATTAGCACATTATTTGAGACAAATCAGTTTTCTGTTGGAAGCAAATCGTTTCAATTTTGTTACTACTGGGTGTTTGTATTACTGCAAAGAACATTGTCTATATCTTTCAAATCATCATTTATTTGCCACAGATATTTTTAGATTTGTTCCCATTGCTTTTCATTCTAAATATTCAATCGGTTGTGGCCTCATCAAAACAACTTTGTAATTTTTCTAGTATGGCTCTGGTTCCATTTCTGTTTTGATTGCCTTTTCCAACTGCGATTTTTTGAAAGAAGGGTAGACAACCATCTGATCGTTGTCATCATTCCATTTGAAAGGTATAGCCTCCATCACTTCGCCTGTCTTCACAAATTCCACTATTACCCATGGCATAGCTGCAACATAAAAAATTATAAGACTCAAATTGTTTTATTGATTGTGATCTGAATTCACAAACACAATAGCTTGAAATTTCATTCGACTTCTAAGACAAAGAACATACGAACATCAACTATAATAACTATCTTATAAATTATTTACCTAGGATGTACATCCGTACCTTTACCTCACCTAAACCCTATATTTAATCCACATGTCATCATTATTATATTCACACTTACCTAAAAAGTCCTCGTAGAAAGAAGAAGAAGAAGTCCCCATTCAACCAAGAATTCCTATAGTATTCATAAGAGTATTTTCCTGCTCTCTCATATTTTATGGTCAGAATAGAAGCCGGTGACGCTAACTAAAAACAAATCTCATCTCCGAGATGACCTCGACCCCACCACACCGCCCATCGGTGAAGATTATTGCGATGTTGCCAATGATGGATTTTTTGAATTAAAAAAGAGAATGAGAGAAATAATTATTGAATGTCATCGTGATATTCATGACGAGTTCTTACATCAGGATATTTCTGATTACTTATAGGTACCTAGGTAGGTACTGTTAGGTAGTATCAAAAATCAATATGAGATCTTGTAAGAATTTTATCATTTTTTGTTCCTCAACAAAAGCCTACGAGTCTGTATAAGAGAATAAATGGTAATCTTTTTATTCCACTTGGACTACGTTCAAAACAAAATAATACGGTATCAGTGCGAAAAGCATGACCTATAAAAGATTTTTAGTATATATATATGTTGAATTATATATACCTATTATCTGATGTTGTATGTCTGGTATGTACCTATCTGAATTAGGTATTCTACTGATTAGGTCAGAAAATGATCCAATACATCTCAAACTTGCGTATACCTAATTTGGGGAGTTATATCTAGCAATCGGCAACGATGTCGGCTCAATGGATCTCGGCTCATGGAGGCCAAGTGGTTTTTGATTTGTTGGAAATGAGAATGAACTGGTTATCAATTAGAGATATATTTGCGGAATCGAAAGGACCGCAATTTAATGGCGAATAGGAAAGCATTTTTCTCAAATCAACTGTTATTGACCAACCTATAGTAGTTTTGTTGTGGACAATTGATTTTCACTTCTGCACAATGAAAAATCGTTAATCTCAAACTGGTGCTGTTTTGTTAGTTGAAAAGCATCTGATTGGCTGCAAACAGTTTCTATTCTGACGAACAATCATTTTCATTCATAACAAATGATATTACTATTCACTCCATCAATAACATGATTTGAGACAAAATCGTTGAGAATTCACTACAAATGATGAAAATGATTATTTTAATTGTTTTACCGCAAATCAGTAGACGCTTGTTTCAAATTCAGAAAATTCTATGGTAGGTGAGCGATGCCAAATGAATCAATAATTTTGGTCCAGTTATTTTATTTTTCACAGGCAGTAATAGTTTCGCTAGTGCTCAATACAAATTTCTGAATGAAATAATCATTTGACCCATTTTTCTCAGTGTGGTTTCATAATTTCAATACTCTTCAAATTGACATACTTTTAGTTTTCTGTTTATGATTGTTACGATGAGAATTGGTGGCAAGAAAACAAAAAGCATCAAATCCAGTTCAGTTCTTCCTCCTCTTCACGATTCCTTTAATGAACTCTGTCAATTATTACATACAGTGTGTTATTTTAATATTTCGAATAAATGTAAATTTTTCCTGAAGCCGAACCTGGATTTTCACTTCACCCGATAGGTGAATGAATTCAACTTCCCAAGTATAAGCTCCATACCAAATTTTGGAAAAATATTCTTGGTAGTTCAATACTTATAGACGAATGAATAATTATTCGAAATCGATAAATCGCCCTGTATCTCCGTTATGAAGACTCTAAGACCTATCAAATATGGTATTTTCAGAACCACCTTGGTGGCCCCTATGTACCATTGAAATATTTCCCTTTACCTATGAAACACCCTGTATATGCTTTTCAATCATTTTGGAATTTTCTTCTTGGAATTTAGTTAAAAATGTATTTAACAGGACTGAAAATGAGAATGTATTTTTAGCTCTATAACCCCAAAGAAACTGAAATAATCTGAGATCGATTCTAGTTTTTGTAGATGTCTCAGTAACATAAATATATTTCGATACACGAGAGTTTCGTGACATGACCTACCTGAAATTATGAAAAGTGAATTTAAAACAATAAATTGATATGTGCAATTATTCCATGAAAGAATTGCGATCCCAAAATTTCCAAAACAAATGGATAGGTCGTATAGGACCAAATGAGTGGCCAGCATACTCACCGGACTTGGCACCCAACGAATGGTTTTAACCTCTGGAGTCATTCAAAATCCGTTATTATCAGAACCTACTGATACGGACGGTTCGGAAAGAAGGATGATGATTTAATGGCAAGCAATAACTAGAGAAACATTTTCAAACGTGCAAGAGGATTTGAATAGACTCTGCCTTTATCTGGGCGGTCAATGGAGGTCATTTTGAACATTTCTGTGAATACCTATTCGATAATCCATATCGTATACCTTGATTTACTGAAAACATAATATTTGAACTCGAATATCTCGAGAACGACTTGTTGCAATTCAAAACACTTTGCACTGCTAGTGTCAGAATTGGATGATGTTTGCAATGATGTATAACACGACCCCTATGCCCTATTCAAGTTATCGAGGGTGTTGCTCTGGGGAGTAGGAGGTTAAAGTAGGGATTATCGTGTCGAATGGTGTACCCCTTCAGTTAAAAATCGATGTGTTTCGATGATTTTTGTGAAACCATTTTCCATTCCATGCATTCTAAATAAAGATTGTGATTGCTGAAACTTTCGTAATTCAACCGACTTTCTATTTCTCATAGTTACCGAGAATAATGAAAAAATAACGCAATATTCGGTTAAAACAGGTTGCGATGTGTAACATGTGTAAAACTTGGTGAATATGTCGGCGCCTATTAGTGAAATACGTCATTCCCTGAATCGCCTAGTCATTTCACATATTGCTGTCAAACAGCTAGCCACTCTGTTTGCCATAAGGTTGAGAAAGGAAAATATCCATTCTGCATAAACATCAAGGAGGAGGCTACTTTTCCTAAACAAAATCTAACCAAACTCGACCTAGATGAACCTTCTTCCTAGGAAGTATATTTTTTGAAAACTTACTTCATAAAACAAAATAGACAACTGTTTCTAAACAACCTAACCTGACTCGCCCTAAATGAACCTTCCTTTAGCCATTACAGGGTATGCCTGAAACTATTTGGCAAACGGTGTACGAAATTTAGAGTAACGTTATTTGCCGGCAATATGTGAAATGACTAAAGGCATTTCAGGAAATTACGGATTTCACTGTTTGACGCCGACATATACACTAGAGTTTGATGAGGAAGTTGATTACAGTGCCGATACAATTCAGATTGTTCTCTAAATACCCTGCACATAACATTAATAGTGATAATTTATGTTAACTTTGTTTCAGGAACAAATTTGGCCTATACCATGTTGATTTCAACAGTCCTAACAGAACACGAACTGCAAAGAAATCTGTTGGCTTCTATCAAAACGTCATAAGAACTAAATGTCTAGTGGATGAATGTATCGAGATTTGAAATTACTTACTTCAATTCAATCAAACTATACTAATGGAGAATTATTAAATGCAATTTCTACTGTCTAGTTTGTAACTGAATAAATTCCAGTGCATGATAAGCTCGTTGATAGTGCATTTTGTTGTGCGTAACATCCTCGATGACTGATACTATTTTCAGTTCAAATATGGAAATCCACTGAGGATGGTATTTTCATTGTGTTCGATGATATTTCCCATTCTTCTTCGCACGCCCATAAACGAAATTTTTTTTCTGGAACACAAAATATTCTTATGAAAATGATTTTTTGCCGTCGAAATATCAAATGTATAAAAGATTGATGAAATGAACCTCTTTCATCGATTATAACCCTAATAGTACACAACGTCCTATGGACGTCCCTATTTGGAACAATTTAAATCCGAATGTCTCGGACCAAAAGAAGTGTCCTTAGGACGTCGCATCCCGTACATCTCATGCAATGTCCGAGCAAGGACGTCCACGGAATGTCCCAGCAGGTAAATCATTTCAAATGTCCCAGAAAAAGCATCCCTTAGACGTCCCGCGTGGTACAAATTGTAGAATTTCCATGTACGGACGTCCTTGGCATGTCCCTGATGAGATATGATTTCGAACGTTCCTTTAGGGATGTCCCGAGTAGTACATGTCCTGACATGATTGCAGATCTTATATAATGTCCCTTCTCGACAACCATGAAATGTCTCTGATCGTATAACAATCAAAATGTCCCTTAGGGACATCCTTCGAATGTCTCTTAGTGATATCCATCGGATGTCCCAATTGGAACCTAAACTGTACTCTTCCAACGTCCTAGAAATAACGTCCTACGGACGTCCCAGTCGGTACTTTTAATATTTTGTCCCTGCGAGGACGTTAACTTTCATCTTGGCGACAAATGATTGCTCGTAGGCTATAAATACTCCTCGTCAATGTCCTTCACGTAAGTTCATTATTTGGACATCTTTGGGAAACTCTTTCAGGATCTGTTGGGGACCTTCTACGGACCATCAACACAACTGGATGTCCTTATCAGTTATGCAAGATTAGGTCCTAGAGGGACACAGGGAAACTTAAATTCAATAATAATTCGTATGTCCCTGGGACATCCTATGGACATCATATTCATATCCCTCAGCGTTGCCGATTGGTTGTCCTACGGATGTCCTAAGGATGTCCTCCGTAGTGTTTGATGAGGAATACTGTAGGATTCAGGTATTCGAAAGTTGTCCCAGGGACACCCCTCAAGGACGTCCCTAGTTGGTCCTCAAGTGGGACATTTGTGCGTCTCACAGAAGTCCTATGGACGTCCACGGTACCAAATTCGAACGTCCTATGGACGTCCCGGATGTCCCGACAGGACGTCCTAAGGATATCCATGGGACATAATTGTGTTATGAGGGAGAAATCTACCTGTGATATATTGCTAGTTCCAGAAACCAAACTAATGAAGCTGATATCAAACCACCGACTAAAACTACTGCTGCTGGATAACAGTCGACCAAACCAACACTAATGAAACTAGAGCCCCTCGAAGTACAAGCAGGTTTCTTGGTGTATATCAAACTGACTTCTCTATATTGCAAACCACTTTCTTGTATCTTCCTCAAGCTGAAGAGAGAAATAGCCGATTCAAACAGGTTCCAAGGATTTCTATACAGATTGCTTACCCTATTTTGAGAAATTCTTTATAGGATGAATTTTTCTGTATAGCTAACCAAGGATCGCTCACTTGCAAATATTGGATTTCTTTCAACCCACATTTTTCACTCTCGCGAAAAATTTCTCCTGAAATTGATAGATGAATTATTAAAGTGGTGTGGAACTTATATCGAAACTAGGCATCCATTATTACTGATGATTACTTTTATCCTCGAGAAATATTCGCGAGCCGAGTCATGAATGAAGAATTAGAATATGGTGATGATACTATTGAATAAGCACTATAAACAGGATGATTGATAGAAATCATTTGTTAACTAAATCGTTGCCCTAGAATAATAATGTACTATCTGGACTAATATAAGTCGCTCAGAATCACGCTGCGAACTTTTGACTCCATCTATTTCGTTCCATTTCAATCGATCAGATTCTTTGTTCTGATCAAGAATATTTAAATGAGTTGAAGTTTTTATCAGTTGATTTTTTTCCTTCCCTTTTCCTCAGATGAATGGTGATTTGAACATCTTAAATGTAGATAGAACTTTGTTCCAGAAGGAGTTTCTATTGTAGTGATTAAACAAGGTTCTTACTGACAAATATACAATGAAATACAACTTTCTAACATGGAATAATACGAGAAAACTGATTTGGAATGTTTTAAGTGCCATCAGATTCACTTCGGAATCGATATATGTGAGTATAAGTATTCGTGTATGGGTAGTAATAATAGTAAAGTGTTGAAAAAAAATTGCGGCACGTAGATTTTTTCAAAAATATATTTCGAATTATCGAAATGGAGGAGTACAAAATGACTTTTTCAACTTAGATCCTTCAGGAATGCAGCCAAATAGTTTCGCCAGTCTCGTTCATGCAGCATTCATTTTTTCAAATGCGTTCACCTTCTCTCAATGCAGCAACTTGAAAGAATGACATATTTTTGTATTTGAGTTTCTTGATAGAACTTTCGAAATCTCTGAAATCGGTAACTCTCAGCTACTAAGATGCAGTATGGCTTCTTTTATTCACTGCTTTCAAGTTCTTGATGAAAATAAGAGTGAAAAATGTTTTTTTCAATTCATGTATTTTTCTCTATGACTGTGAATGTTCAATGTTGATGAACTGGGATAACAAGGGGTATATGTATAGGTTCGATGAAACAAGGTTATGGGTGTAGATATAGGACCATCATAAATCAAAAAAAGAGAGAAACATTCTGTAGATAGAACTGTGCATTATGACTAACTCATTTAAATTCCAACAGATTGCGATAGTTGACCTCTCAAAATTTTGGTAGGAAAGGCAGATAGAACCTTATTATTCCAGGCGACGAAATCACAAAATCGAAATGTTCAAGTCAAGATTGGGTGATTGCAGAAAGGATCGACAGCTAGATCTGAACTGACCAACTAATTTGTAACCAGGTCCTGTCTCCATATGAAAAGCGAAAAGTCCTTCCCTCATCTTCCTTACACCTTCTTCCATGGTCATGAAATTCTCTTTCTTGCCTAGAGGCTTCACTTTCTGTAAGTAAATGGCTCTTCGAATAGGTTCAGTAGAATTCTGAAACGGAAGATGAATAATTTCACTAATTAGATGAGATATATACAGGGCAGCGATGGAACCGACAAAACTCATGAAGTTTTAAGGACTGACAATGCTCAATGCTCAAAAGCCCTATGAAAATGTTTGAAACCGATTCGTTACTGACAAACAGAGTGATTGGGGAATTTTGACAAAAAATTCAATTCGCTATATAAAATACAGTATAATTATCCGATTGAATTCAAATTGTGTACATGAATGAAATAATGCTTCATCAAGTAGCCTTTTGAACGAAACCAATATCAGGGCCGGAATATTGCTTTCTTCCTATACTGAGTTAATGTAAAAATAACTCACCCCGTATAATAATCATCGAAAAAAAATTGAGATCAGATCACAAATCTACGGACAAAATATCATAGGAACGTTGAATAAGTTTCTGGAACTAGTTCAGTCATTCCGTTCTTCAAAAATTGTCGAAAAAAATATCATCCAACCAAGACATATTTTTCGTTATTCTCTTCGATTACTTCGTAGATAAATTTTATGAGTCACTCTCTCGTAACCTAAAAAACCTGAAGAATAAATTCGTATCAGAACCGGAATGACTCTTTTTCATGTTCTTGTAATTTTAACTGACTGTTGTTGAAAACAAACTGGACTGAATTGACCGTGAATTATATTTGATTTCCTATTAATTTGAATCCATGAAAATACAACAAAAAATGAACGATAATTTTTGTCATTACTATAACAAAGGAACTAATTCGTGGAGAACTTTCACTAGTATTAGATCAGATAAATGATAATTGTTATACTAGATCAGTTATACTTACAAAAATATAAAAATGACTCATTCTGGCCCTGATACGAATATTTCCTTCAGTTTTTTAAGTTATGAGAGGAATTCACAAGATATTACTACGGATTATTCAAATAGAATGAAAACAGTAATGTTTTGGTTTCGTAAATATTTATTAAGTATATTAACCAACGTAGGTGATTCATAACTTACAGTGGAGGTAATATAAATCAAAAGGGGTGAAAGAACTCACAGTCACAACTTCACCACATAAGAAATTCAATAATGACCAACGATCATGGATATAAGGACATGTTTCGAAGGATTGATCCGTCATCATCAGCAAATTTATGAAAAGAAAATCTGTAAGAAGGAACATCTCCTATATTAGTTTCTGAGTATTGATTAAAAATCTGAATGTACCTATCGCATTATTGGTGGAAAAAGATTACTTATTGAAAAACATGAAGAAACGATTTTTAACCGCGCATAGTACGGGTGAGTAGCTGTTAGGGAACTATGATAACAGCTCTAAGAGCTTAGTTCTCGAAAATGATATGATATAAATCAAATATTAAATTGAACCAACATGTGGGCCTGAATTTGTTGAATTAGGTTAACTATTTACAAATGACAATCGACAAATGGCAATTGATAACAATGACGCTGAGGACAAAACAAAACATCAGAATGACACCAGTCAAGTCAAAACCAAGGAATGTTCTGATTCGAAGTGACATAGAACACAAAACAAAATTGTATTTGAAATAACAAGGAGTTGAATAATTTGAGACTATCGAATTGAGTTTGTTCATTGAGGCAGTTGAGGTTAGAGATTTTGACAGCTTCATTAATTTACAGAGTTTCAAGAAGGTCAATAGTTTTTCCTTTGTCACAGATATGTGGAATTTCTATGTTAGAATTAGGATCAAAAGAGTGTTTGTCATTGATAATATAGTTAGGGAGAAGAGATTTTGTTTTTCTTATTCGGAAGTGCTCGCAAAAGGTTGAACCTATAAACCCATGGTGGAACTGCGAGCACTAAGGAAGGACAAATATCGATGTATCCTCCTCTTGAAGGTAAATAGATTGTAGTTAGCTGAAAATACATCTGTGGGTAAAGAATTCGACAGTGAAGATGTCCTGCAAAAGAATAAGGAGTTCTTGAAATATGATGTTCTAGGTGTTTCAATTTTGACTGCGCATATTGGTGTGAGATTTGAGCCAGCTGCGTTTAGCGAACGAAGGTCATCCCAGGGGGTACAGCTGATGACAATTCAACAGAGCATCGTCCATGATAATAGAATTGGATTCAAACATTTTTCTCAAAATTATTTTCGATATATATGATTGTGTTCTTATACTTTGATTTTGAACTTGCAACCTGTTCGACCAATGTAGCTTTGAAATCATCATTTTTACAATTCGATTCATAAACACCAGATTTTTCTAGAATATCAATCTCGTCTTTTGTGTTGACAAGGCACTCCCTAGACTAGACCCATGAGCAGTAGGATGATGGTTCAGTATTTCCGCGAAGATCCCAACAATCCACATTTCCCAATCATTCAATAGTTTATACTGCGATCACCTCAACTATCTCCTTTATCCAAAAGCCACCAATGAAATTACAAGAGTGTCAACTTACTGGAAAATAAAATCGATTAAACACAGTATCATCCACCCCAACTTGAAGCCTGGACTTGAGCAAATCTTCCAAAGTTTGTATACTAGTTGACGACGACTGCAGTAAAGCTACTATATTAGCAGAGTACGAGGTATACAGAAACATCAATGAGATGAAAAGCAGAATTGTTGTTATTCTTCCAGGAATGCTCAGTGGGATTGACGGTGCTCCTTGTTGACAAAAAGCACCAAATGATAAAAGAGCAACATCACTCACGGAGTCATGAAGTTCTGGTGCAGTATATGGCTCCTAAAAACATGAATGTTCACAAAAACAATATCAATAGTAAGGTTTATTCGTGTTCTAACTATTACGGTTCTAGAACTGTCAGGAGTTTGCGCAGTAAAATCGGTCGCGTTCGGGTTTTGTGGAACTGTTCTAGGACTGACTCATCAGGCGTTCGGGTTCTTCCAGAATCGTCCTTGGACGGTCCTAGAACTATCCGAAACCAGTACCTGCTCTCGATCATGAACCGTTCCAGGATTATTTTTGGCGCATGCTCATACCATTTAGTTTTCGATTCTGTCTATTGAAGCGTAATAATGATATATTTTTGTTTATTCTAATGTTTATTGCTCTTCTCAATATTTTCTCAATATTATGGAGCTAGTACATTGTGATGGAGTTACTTGCTGAAGTTGCTGAAAATATTTCACATAATCTGATAATTCTGTTATAAAAACCGAAAAATGAAGGACTATGTTGGGGAGATTTTGCCATTATATTCAGATACACAATTCATCGAACATTTCAGGTGGGTGTTGAAATTCATTTAGGTACAAGGGACAAAACATATTGAAAATCTAGCTACGAATGTTATGATGGAATATATTCACCCCACAGCCCACATATTATGGCTTCCAGAGATATTGTGAATAGACTCAAAGAAGAGTTTGAAGCTTCAGAGTATTATTCGAATGAAAATACAGGTTTCGAACTATTGTTTTTTTCGCAAATTCTGAATAGAGGTTATGTTCTCAGAGGTTCTCTTCAGCCCCGTTCGGGTTTTCATAGTTTGTGAGCCGTTCTGAACCGTTCTAGGATTCGAAACCACTGCACACTAGTTCTACGCAGTTCGAGCACGATTCTTGAACAGTTCTGAAATCGCAACCCGAATAAACCTGTAAATACTCCAAAAAAGCGAACCGGTTCTTGTGAATGTTTCTTCTTGGCCCATTCCCACTTCAGTATAATAAATAAAACCAGCCACATAAGGATAACTAGAGCGATTGTCGAAGCCCAAACATTGTCATCGAATGGCAGAGTAAAGACATTGGTAACGTAGGACAGCTTCGGTTCCCTGAAGACAAACTTTGATCTTGTGGGTGTAGTCATAGAAATATAATCTATTATGTCAACTCTATCGCTCGTAAAGAATAATGCTGTTCCTAAAAAATATAATATCATTCAGAATATTCTAATTGGAATTTTTCTTTATTGGTCAGGTGTATAACTTCAGTATGATAATCAATATATTCGTCGATCCAGAATATTTTGATTACCGCGGAGCAGATCTATATAGGAGCATTGTATCAATTTATATTTTGGGATAACATTGGAAATGCACTATAGGCAAAAATTCCTGAGTCAAATGTTTGAGTGACGAGTTGGAAACTCGTTCTGAAAAAATGTAGAGAGAGCTATATAGTATGAGTTAGTTTTTCAGAATCCAACAAATTCGATGACCAAAGTTGAAGGGTGTTTCATAATTGGATGTGAATATCAAGGAATGCGATTATTGGGCCCATTCTTATAAGAAAATTTCATATGAACCTATTACCCATTGAGATACAGGGTGGTAAATTTCTCATAAATTAATAGTTTTTTATCAATATCTGTAATAGCACCTGAGATATTCTGATGAAATTTGTCATATAAATACTATGTACCTATTAAGAGGCATCAGTGAGTGTACCACATTTTCTTGTTGCCACCAGTGGCGTTCGTATGGAATTTCACATACCTATTTTGGCAGACATTGATGGTACGCCATTGATCAATCTCGAAATTGAGATCATGCCTGAAATTCCCTATCATTTCTAAGCAAAGATCAGCACAATTTGTTCAATCTGAAGCATGGTTTTTGCTTAAAAAAATAAAAAGCTTTTCACTACATGATGATAGCAATATCGTTAATATGACAATATCACAATGCAGAGAAATGGATTTCAATTTTTAGATCATATTTCTGAAATACAATCCATGATTTATGAACTTTGTATTCGTATTTGGTATTTTGGTAGGTCATGCGTTCATATGAAACTTCCTTCTTAGAGTGGGCCCAAGAATCGCCTCCCCAAATATTTACATCCAATTATGAAACACCCTGTATATTGATGACGCTTGTCATTGTCATTGTCATTGTCACAGCTATATGATCATCAAAGGAGATAGCCTTCTTGAGATCAAAATCAAAATATCAATATCGAATATAAACTACTCAACACTAATTTCGTCGCACACCAAAATGTCGCCCCTGTTATAATGTGAATAACTTTTTTCAGTTCAGAACAATTTCAATTTGGTTCACACTGTTCGATAGCCCAGTCTTTCAGCTATAATTTCGTACTTCATTGAAACATAAGGGTTTTCACATAAAATCTCTACATGGTGTTTTCCGACACTGTGCAAAATTTCGGAATATTCAAAAGGTTCTCAAATGGTGAAAAAATTTGTTTTCTCAACTTCGACAACAGAGGCATGAATATGATCTCATTACCTCGAGATGTTTCGCGAATCAACTTCCTATCTCTCTTACTTACAGAGTGATCTCAAAAAAATCAACTTTTTGGTTTTGCAGTCATAACTTTTTCCCCGTCAACCGATTTTAGAAATCTTAGTCTCATTTTGAAGATAAAACTTCAGATGAAGAGATCTGAATATCAGAATTGACTCAAGATGGCTATCAGAGATCTAGAGTTTTCTTGAAAGTGACCAAAATCTGGAACGCCCTCCGAATCTCGGTTAGGAGGAGAATTGAATGAAAATCAACTTGTTCTCGGAAAAACAATTCATTCTGGATGCGTCCATACTTTCTTCGCTCTCAGTAGTCAAGAAAGTGCGTGAGAAAACACAATTGGAACATGTTCTTGCAGAAACATCAGATCATTTCTCCTCTGTAAAGCATGGCCCGTAACCAACGTTACAAGAATCACAGTAAGTGACTGACAAGTCAGTTAAGTCAGGTTAGACGTCGTTTTCGATTCATAAACAGATTTCGATAGTTTCGATGCCGCATCTAACGCGAATGTGGGTGACAACTTTGTTCTCGTTGATGACAATGCGAGACCGCATAGGGTTGTTGGTACATCATTTATGAGCCTTAGCTGGTCGGGTTTGTCAGTCCATTGTGATTCTTGTAACGTTGGTTACGGGCCATGCATTACAGATGAGAAATGGTCTGATGTTTTTGCAAGAACATGTTTCAATTGTGTTTTCTCACCCACAATTCTTGACTACTGAGAGCGAGGAAAATATGGACGCATCCAGAATGAATTGTTTTCCTGAGAACAAGTTGATTTTCATTCAATTCTCCTCCCAACCGAGATTCGGAGGGCGTTCCAGATTTGGGTCACTTTCAAGAAAACTCTAGATCTCTGATAGCCATCTTGAGTCAATTCTGATATTCAGATCTCTTCATCTGAAGTTTTATCTTCAAAATGAGCCTAAGATTTCTAAAATCGGTTGACGGGGAAAAAAGTTATATGACTGCAAAACCAAAAAGTTGATTTTTTGAGATCACTCTGTAAATAAGAGAGATAGGAAGTTGATTCGCGAAACATCCCGAGGTAATGAGATCATCTTCATGCCTCTGTTGTCGAAGTTGAGAAAGAAAAATGTTTTCACCATTTGAGAGCCTTTTGAATATTCCGAAATTTTGCACAGTGTCGGAAAACACCATGTAGAGATTTTATGTGAATACCCTTATGTTTCAATGAAATACGAGATTATAGCTGAAGGACTGGCCTATCGAACAGTGTGAACCAAATTCAAATTGTTCTAAACTGAAAATAGTTATTCACATTATAACAGGGGCGACATTTTGATGTGCGACGAAATTAGTGTTGAGTAGTTTACTTACAGATATTCAATGCACTTTAATATTGAGTACCCATGTCATATATCTACCTATTATACAATATGATATGATGACTTCCGATATCAGAATTATTTCATTTGACTCGTTACAAGAGCAGTTAGTGACAACTCAATGAACTACTATCAACAGTTATACCTCCAATATCTGCTTCGTTCCTCATCAATTCACCGATCATACCGCTCCATTCTGATTTGTTGTCCTTGTAACCCCATGTCGCCTGGATTGAATAGTTCAATGTTACATTCACGATATCAGCCAAGTGTTCCACAAGCACGTAATTAACTTTGGCAATGCTATCTATATGCTTATCCCTAACAAAGTAGAATAATCACAGTAACAATGATAGAAAATGATTTCGCATACCAAGGTTCCCAAGGTAGTGCGATATTCAGAAATTTGAAAACTCATTATAAAGTTATAACACGATATGTAATGATTAGTAAAATCAGTATTTCGATCTTTTAATTCAACATATTGCACAATCATGTTTACTAGATGGTGTCTGATGTGAAGGAAAGTAATATTTCATAGACTAGTCCAGATATTTCTTCTTGATAAAGTTATTTAGATGAAGACCACAAGGGAAAAAGGGGAATGTCACAATATAGTGGAAGTTGACTTGACACCGTCATCTGATAGCCAAACCACTATATTTCATTATAAACAGATTTCCATAGCAATAACGCAGCATAGTCAGCTAATATGCTCGTTTGAAAATACGTTCACATGGAAAAAACGCGGAATGTCCACTTCAAGAAGGTGAAGAAAGGGGAACGTCCAAGCTTAGTGCTTCCTTGAATACAGATTGCATTGTGATTTCAACAGGTTGTTTCAACACTGTCGAAAGGTCAAAGTGAACTCCTAGGCAAACAGAAGATGAGAAAAAAAAGATTCGACCACCTTTTCATCATCTCTTGGAGCTTACGAAAGGAAATACCTATAATGTTCGGGAAACATCGTGGGTACCTAGGAAGGTACCACAGCAGAGAATCACGAGTAAACAATACAGTTTTTTGACAAATTATTTGGAAATTCCCCATTCTTCCTTTGAGTCTTTGGACCTATCTTTTGTTTTCGATGATTTTTTGATTCAAATATGATTTTTGTTTCTAGTTGGTCAACTTAATTGTTCATTATACTCCATGAAATGAGTCCAGATGGTTTGATTTTAATTTCCTTCAATTTGGAAAAAGTAAAGAGGTTTCAATTATTGAAATGCGTTTTTCTCGAAACTTACTTTTAATGGCTTTCACATCTACACACTCATCAAATAACACGAATCTCAAAATATCAAAAGAAGGGAATCCTTGGTAAGATTTAGGCTCTTTTGCTATATGGGTCCATGCAGGGCCTACTCTATCTCAGATAGGCCATGTCTACAGAAAGCATTGACCGCAAGCACAAAAAAAGGATGGAAAAACGTTGTACCTTTTGTCTGTCAGATGGTTCAATGAATCATTATGAGTTATAACAATGCAAGTATTGAGATTTGTTCCTTTCATATTATTTCTTCTCCTCAAATTCTTCTTTCTATTAATGAATTCAACCAATCCATCGTTTCCACTCCATCTGCCGATAATCTCCACAATAACTGAATAATTCCAGTGACGTTTGTAAATTGTTTTGATGGATACAGTTTTATTTTCACTCGGATGCAGTAGGGTGACATCACTATCTATCAGTATATTCATTTGAGAAAAGTATTCTTCGATTATTGCTGTTTCAGAAACTATACTTGAAAAGAAAATCCACTGCAGTGGTGATGCAAATAAATTCAGGTTTTTCGCCTAAAACACAAATTATCAGGAATTCGCATGGCCCCTAGCGATTATGAAGATGATCACAAACTTTCTCTAACAGGACTATGGAGTTGATGCAATCCAAGTTCAATATTAAAATTTGTCTGTTTGGTGGGAAAGGATATTCTAAATGTTCAAAATTCACAGGTAACACCCTACTAGAATGCATACCTTTCGTCAATATTTTCAAGAGTTCAAACGATTCTGAAAATGTATGATATGTAGGTATACATCATTCGCAGTAGAACTTCATAATTTCATTTTATTGAAAACTCACCACTTTTGTTGCATGAAAATTCGGTGATCATCATCGTTTTATTATTTTTCTTGATGAGTTCACTTATTACTTCAACATACCCTACTGCTAATGCATCGAGAGAGAAAAAGGTGATGCATAGTAAGAGAAAATAAAAAACGTCCATATCACCATATACTTGGTTCAAATATAACAATTTTCTTCTTATACCACTACTGCTCTGATTGTTCAGCAAATATAGTTACCTATGTATTATTCTTATTTACTTTGTGATTTGCCTCCCTATTTTCCAAGAATAAATAGTACTTATAAGATGATTTGGGAATATATTCCCTTTTCGTGATCAATCTTGGAATACTCATGATGTTGAAATATATTCAGGATATCAACAACATCATGGAAAAATAAAATGAAAATTATATATACAGAGAGCACGTAAAGGATGAAACAAATTCGTTTAAAGTTCGATATTGCCAGGGACAAAAAAAAACTCAGACGTTTTTCTTTTTCAGTCGCGCATTTTTTTATTTACCTGTATTTCCCATGTCATCATCATTCGATTCCTGACGTCATCGTATTTTGATGATACTTTCGAGAAGAGCCCATTTACCTGTTTATAATAATAATGTTTATTTTTGACAGAGGAATAGATACAATATATAGAAATAAACTTATCAAATAAACATGAGAGTAAGGCCAAGAGTACAATGTAATTGAATGACTGGTGGTGGTAATCATCATTTCCTCTAAAAGAACAGTGTTCTTGATAACGAAGTTGTGATCATTATTCGATATTTTTACCAACTAAGTACATTTATGTATACTTGATATTGTCTCTATATTATCGCCATACAGGATACTAGGAAAAAATAGAAGTTGAAAATGTTTGAACAGGGAATAAATAGGAATTGAACTATAAAATCTGAATCAACGTTATCCACATCAGTATGACAATATACATAAATATACACATAAACACACAACATGAAATAGAATTCTAGACTTTGACTTATTTTCAACAGAAACATATATCTTGTGAAGAGGTAGAGGCTTTATTATTTTTCTATTATTATTATTATTATTCTGGGATGAGTATTTGTTATGATATCACATCAATGATTTCATGTATAATCATTCTAGATGTTTCATGTAACCATTTCTTTATTCTTTTTTTGAATTTGAACGTCATATTGAAATCTTTTATTTCATTTGGAAGGAGTTCGTAGATTTTCAGAGCTATATATAAGAATGGTTTCTCAACCCAATAGTTTTTTTGGCAATTTTCCTTTCGGTGATAGATTTTTTGTTCCGGGTATTAAAAACGTGTTCTTCATATCGAATATTGATTTTGTTTTTATGGAGATATATCAGGAATATTTGGCTGTAGATCTGTTTCAAGTCCAATACTGCTGACTCTTCATATAATCTTTCGGTAGAATAGGAGCGCTGCCCCACCCAATTATGCCATAGGAAAGTTGAGATTGGAGTGGATTGGACTAGTGAGTAGTAAACTGATCTCAATTGTGGAATCGTCAGAAATTGTTTGATAATTTTGAATTTCGGTAGCAACATTCGCAGTTTTTTGCACAAATAATTGATATGCACATTCCATCTCATATACATATCAATCATAATGCCTAGATATTTAATCGAACTGGCCTCTTCTATTTGCATTTTGCAGTTACCTACTTTGTCACGCATTTCTAGAACATTATATGGAAGTAGGTGATTGTGATACGATGAAAAAGGAAGATATTTAGTTTTATCGGCATTCACTGTTAGAACATTCACGTCAAACCAATTTTTTATTGACATGAAATCTTGTTCGGCTAACTTTTTCAAGTTTTGCCAACTATCTGCCCTATAAATGATTGCCGTGTCATCCGCAAAACTACGAACCTTACCTCGTTTTGGCATGTCTAGTAAGTTATTGAGATAGATATTGAATAGAACCGGACCTAATACTGGATGTTATATAACTAAATTTTCGAAAAAATTTAAGATATTTCATTCAAAATAATGTGACTCATGATGATGACTTTATATAAAATATGACTGAATCAACAAATGAGCTTTTTTTCCCAATAACCATATCAAACTTCTGATGAATTCATTCCGGCCTCTATACGTGCTCACAGTATAAATATTTTCTATTCTAACTTTCAGCTATACTCTGAAACTTTCATGCATTGCTCCATAAACCATTATAGGTATATTATTTTCACTATTATGTCGCGAAACTCTGTAATGAAACTTATATATTTTCAGAGAAGGTCAGCACGATCTGTGTGTGTGTCAGCAGAGTATGTATACCTATTCATTTACTTCCAGTTGAATCTATCTAGGGGTCCCAGTACAAATAACTATCACAAATCACATCAAGTTGCACGCAATCTCCACTGGCATTTTCACATATCGAATTTTTGTAATCAGAATCTATACAGGATACAGGGTATTTCAAAGAAACCTTTTACTCCTTGCTAGGGTAGGAAGAAAACTGCAAAATAAGTGGAGTTTGCTTAGTATCAAAGACAGGTGTTGAAAATAACATTTTCTTACACATTTCTAACGATGATGACGAAACTAATGGCAACATTGTGATGGAATCATGGATGTATGGATATGTTCTGACACATCTCATGAATCTGTTTTCATATATCTCACTGTTATAGGGGGCACTAGTTACACGGTTTTTACCGAGTGATTTTAAACATAACTTTTTGAGGTTGGTTATTTTAGTCCAAATTCTATCTGAACTCGAACATCATTCAATTCAACACCAAAAAGGACCTCTTGATCAAACCTAATACTGTGTACCGTTTTCGCAATATTTTGAGTTGGAAATAATGGAGTAACAGGTGATGCTGGGTATAATATAAGTTTTTTTGACATCGATTTTCTATTCATTCAGATTTGCAAACAATGACATCATCATGGTGTTGAAGTAATTGATTGAACCAATAATCACAAGTAGAAAATTTGAAGAAATCTAGCTAAAAATATAAAATATTGTATAGGTTGGAGTAAGTGTTCAAAATGTCCTTCCTGCACTATTCTATCGCTTTTATCGAGAATGCAATGATCTTCTTAATACTTAACTGTGTAATCTATGTTTTCAGTCGAATTAATTCAATGGTGTCCTTGTGAATAATTGTTTGATCAATAAGTAAACCATGGAGATTGTATTGTGGTTTTATGAATTCAATGAAAATGTGATCGTTTTTTATAATACTTTCAATCTAATATACAGCCTTATACCAGCTACAATTATCACTTCAACATTTTCAAATCGAAATTTCCTGAAAACAGTACACAGTATCAAGTTTTACCAAAAGTACGTTCTCGGTGAATAATTAGATGATGTTCAAGCATATATCAAATTTGGATTGAAAAATCTAACCTCAAAAAAGATACGATCAAAACTCTATGAGTGTGAGATATATGAAAACAATTTCATGCTAGCATCCAAAACACATCCAAACATCAGAATGTCTATAAAGTGTTGCCAGTAGTTTTGACATAATCGTTACAAACTGTGTGAGACATATTATTTTCAACACCTTCTCACACCTTCATTATGTTACTGAGCAAATCCAACTTAATTTGCAGTGTTCTACCTACCCTAGCAAGGTGGTCAGGTTTTCTCGAAACACCCTGTTTATAAATCTATTATGCGAAAACACTCCACACATTCTCCTACATTTTTTCCTTCATCGAATATCCTTAGGATACACTCAATATTTGAGAAATTTTGACTCTTCAAATAGATCCGTTGACAACCGGTATACCTACCGCAGAGCAAAATACGCCGCTGAAATGTCAAAACCAACTTTCGTAACCTTTTTTTCTCTATATTTTCAGGTCATTATTCATATTCCCTCATCCTTTTTCTCTCCTGTTTTGCCTTGCAGATTTTGAAGTAATCATCAGCAAAGATTACCGATTCAATTTTACCTTTATGCAATTCATGTTTTTGCTCGACTTCCTACGTATTCCAATTTTTCAACGCGATGTTGAATTCCGGTAGGCAGCATGTAAATAAGTAATATATTTCCTGGGGGAAGAAATGTTAAATGGAAACTTTATTTCCGGAGAATGTGTGTTCAACCGCAGCAATCATTCCTATTTGATGAGCATGTCCTGAAACTCTGTAGTTCTTCGATCTTCTGTCGTTTGCTTTCAGCTACGCTGTAGGTCCGAATGTTGTAATTGGGGAAATTTCATTATTTCTACTCTCGATCAAACTTTAACGATCTATTTTTTTCAACCACTAGCCCTTTAACAAGCCATTACTTACTCATCTCCTAGTCATGATCTGGTATCTTTTACTACTATGATGGTAGTTTATTCATTTTATCAACTAAACTACGCAACACCAATTTCTTCGGACCCCAAAATGTTGCCTCTGTTGAAATATGAATGATTTTTTTCTGCTTTGAACAATTTGATTACAGATCACATTTTTCGCTAGCCCAAACCTTCTGCTATTATCTCGTTTTTCTTCGAAATAGGAAGGTCTTTACATAAAATCGCTATATAGGGTGTCACCTGAAGCCATGAAAAATTTCGGAATTTTCAAAATAAACCCAAATGAACAAAAACTCCCTTTTTCCAAATTTGACAGCAGAAGACTGAAGATAATACTATCACCACAGGACATTTTTCGAATTGTCTTCTTATCTCTTCCATTAACAGAGTGATCTCAAAAAATCAACTTTTTGGTTCTGCAATCATAACTTTTTTCCTAGACAAATGATTTTTGATATTCAGGGGCCCATTTTAAAGCTGAAACTCCAGCTGGAAATAAATGGGGATCAGAATTGACTCAAGATGAACATTATACAGTGTGTCTGTTCTAATGGAAGCATCCCTGACCATTGTCATTCTAGATGACAACCTAGTTAGCTAGTTAGTAGGCGAGAGCTATTTTACCTCCTCGCACTAGGTCGCCTACTAGGTTCCTATCTAGATCGACAATAGTCTGACTTTAAACCTGAATTGCAGTAGCATTGATCAATTCATGACGAATTTTGAGGCTTGAAGTCTGGGTCCGCCGTACCAATTTACCAATAATAAGACGGTCTTGAGTGGAAGTCGTTCTTCTTGTTGTTGCCCTTCTTGGCTTGCTCGGTTGAAACAAAATATCCCCAGCGTGGGTGTCTCCATAGCTGTTGGCAATCAGTGTATATTATATCACTAGAAATGACTCCACTTGGTCAGGTAGTAGTGTGACACACTATATGATGTTCATCTTGGATCAATTATGATTTTAATATCTGTTCGTCTCAAGTTTCAGCTTCAAAGTGAGCCTGAGGTTTCAGAAATCGGTTGACGAAGAAAAAAGTTATGACTGCAAAGCCCAAAAGTTATTCTTTTGAGGCTACTCTGTTAATAATAGAGATGAGAAGGCAATTTGAAATATGTCTCAAGGTGATGAGGTCATCTACATGCCTCCGCTGTAGAAGTTAATCACTATTGTAATTTGATGTTTTCCAAACACTTACCTATTGTACACAACTGATGACATAAGCTCCTCAGACATTTCACGAATAATGAACCGAATTATTTTCTAAGAAATCAGATGAGGAGTTCGAAAAGTGTCTGTTTCTATCCATAATAACAAAAAACAAAGGAGAAAAAAATCATCTCACGGAAATCAATGGCATAGCTCGACTTGAGCTCCATTTTTGCCAATCGCCATCAAACTACGTGTAATTCATAACACTATTTTTGAGAATCCGTTTGAAAAGTGCATTCCAGATCAGTGGATTTTTTCTCTTTGTTCTGCAGGTATACACTGTAACTCAAAAACTGATCAAGAAGTAATCAAGGACGGAAAAAATCGTGATGGAGGACTACTAGAGGACCTGAATGAATTTTAATCGTTGAAACCTCACTTGTTCCTGAATATCGGAATTGATATTGATGATTTGATGTGTATTACCATGGCATAATAACTTGAAAATAATGATAGGAATAGTTTAATGAAAACGACAATTCCGACATTTACATAGGTACCTTCTTTGAACACAATGAAATTTCAGACAATACAGGTGACTACAATGATACTTCAAGACATAAACTATAGAGACACATAAACATTGATCCCGTTTTTATTCACACGAAATGAGTTCACACGTTTCCCACCAAACTATTTCTGGGTGCTTGCAGGAAAGATCCTCTGCCATGTGTCGTGCCGTTGGTAGGTTTGGAAGTTCCTCCATTCACTGTTATCACTGTTGTGGTGGTGATGTCGGAGGTGCAGGATTCTCTTTTGTGGTACAAATTCGTTGGTTGACTGTATAACCTGAAACCGAGAGAGTTTTTGATCAACCATTCAGGTCTCATCAACAACCAATCATCGCTGAACTTATAGTAGATGTAGATGAGTTATATAGGTGAACATCGAATGAACAAACTCTCGTCAACAGGGGGCTCATCAATGAATGGAAATAGATGAATAGGGGTGAACTGGAATGGCATTTTCAGTTCATTAAGAAATTCATCTTGAAAATATGTGTTCTTCGAACTTTTGAAGTCCTGCTACACAAGACTGATTCAGTCTGTATACGCACTAATGAGCACCAAGTTACTTCGATTATTTGTTTTAGATGTCAAAATGTGACGTTTTCATACTGATAATTTGTTGGTAAAAGATTACAGTGATGATTTTTTCGAACATCATAAATGTCTATCGACACCTTCAGACTGAACAGCCAGACATATTGGCCCCTTACTGAGACAAAAGTCAATTAATCCACCAATACAACCTATAATATGCTCTGTCCTGGTCCCGACATTCACGCACGCTTCAGGTCCAAGTAAGGTATCTGCCTCTATTCTAGAATGAATCTCAGAGTAAGAACTTTCGAACCCAATTAGTTGGATGATATGTGGTTTAAAATCGAATTGGTGGTATAGATTTGGTCTGATGTGAATATTTTTCTTGTCTCTATCTATCATTGAATGATCCAATCTCTTAAGAGCTCTTCGAGTTCTTGCCTTTGAAGCAGGACCATCGCCACACTACGATAAAACGGGTGAATCTGGGCGACAAGCCGAAGCTTTGACACGGATTCCTGATGTCAGCAGTATTCAGCTAACACACTCAACTTATTCCTCAATTCAGCAATTCAGCACCTTTCACCATAGATTTACGAGCCTACCATCGCTGGCGTCAGGACCCTAGCCTCATGACTAGAGCAGGATATGTTGGAGCAAAGAATAACTGCGGCTAAACAATAGATGCATCAAAAGAATCATATACAAGGCCAATATAAGATCAAAACTCATAGATTGTCCCAATCGTTCTGTTACATCTCGTCATTCTCCAATGCAATCGGAAGTAATTTCCCTTATTGTTCATTTCCACTACTCTTCCAAGCCGACGGTAACAACATCGCAAGAGAATGCGAAAATGTTTGCAGGGATGTGCGCAGCAAAATTCACCTCGGATTTCCAGAAACAAATGCTGCAGGATATATCAACCGTTGGAAGTCTGGCAGAACTGCTCGGTCTCAAACTATTTCTCACCCATTATCCATGAGAAGTTAGCACTATCAGACGCATTCTGCTCGATCTCGAAACATTCTCCACTCATTCTTGAGGGGTGTGCAACAGAATTGACACCGACTCTCTGCGAGCTATTCACCATCTCCTAAAAGTCGGGTATTTTCCTGCTTGAAAATAGCTCAAGTTCACCTTATCCCGAGAAAAAGGAAACAGGAGCCGTTCCAACAACTATAGGTCACTTGCCCTGTTAGGTCAAATATCTGGCGAGTTCAGGGATCATTGATACTGTTCTCGCCATCAAAGATCAACTGGAGATTCACTTGCCTTCGTCACCCATATATACATAGCTGAATCATCAGAAAATTATGGGGAACCTCTAGCTGTGGCGTAAGATATTTCGAAGGCATTTGACCGTGTTTGGCACCAAGGACTGCTCCACAAACTACCATCATACGGCTCACCACCTCAGCTATGATCGCTTCATGAGGTGATGAACGGGGTATTGCTGGATACCATTGCCATCGATTCTGACGTTCAACAAGGATCAATTTTGGCACCAACATTGCTCCCACTTTATATCAGCCATCTGTTGGGAGCAACCACTTGCCCTGTCTTCTAGAATTCTCATTTCTTTCCAGAAATCTAAGAACTTTCGACAAAGGCAGGCCAATGCTGTCAATGAAAATATTGGGGAATCAACGACCCAGATGAATTCAACGTCACCACAACACATGCCTTTTTTTCTCTAGAAAGGCGCGCGGAACTCAGTATGCCTGATATCCTTCTGATATCACAATGTCAGGTACCATCATTCTCATCAAGACCACTATACTTATGCTGGGTATCACCATCAGCAATACTCTCATATGGAAAAATAATGTTTAATTCATCGCAAAAATGCTTCACAAAACCTCGGATTCTTGTTCCATGCAAAAATCTAGTTCACATCTCAACAGCTTCTCTTGATCTACAAAGCACAGATTCGGTCAGAATACTGTTCTCATGTATGGGGTTCAGCACTCAAACATACGCTAATGCTCTTATAGATTCCATACGAAGAAGAGTCTGGTGGGTGATGACACACTCACCAACTCTTTGACCCCATAAAGACACCCTAGAAAAGTTCGGGCCCTTGAACTAGATACTTCCACGGAAAATTTTTCTCATGAATCTCTGCTATGATTTCATCATTTGCAATACCAGTCAGACGTACACGACTGTCCCAGTCAGCTCAAGACATCTTTATCCTTGGAATATGTCGAACATCACTCAACCAAATCTCTTTCGTCTATAGAATGACGAAACTTTGCCAATGGAAGTACTTCGGAGAACTTATAACCTTCAAAAGATCAAAAGAACGTCCAATACCTATTCCTCCTTGCCCTATCTTCCCTAGGTTACTACGCACGATGTTTCAAGAACATTATAGGAATAGTCGTTCGCGTGCTCCAAGAAACGAAAAAAAAAGCTATTTTCTACATTAACCAGACTTAAGAGTTGCTCGAAGAACAAATGTCGAATATAACTTCCAAAAGTTAAAAAAAAACTCCACAACGCCTACCTTCTCTTCCTATCCTCCCTAGGTATGCACGATATTCTTCGAAAATTATATGGATTTCTTCTTGTGCGCTCCAAGAGATGAAAAAAACGAATTATTTGAGAAGAAAATATTCACGGCAGGTATTATCATGATCTATCTGGTAAGGAAACATGATGTCGGTTATATAATGTAATTTTGTTTTCGATTGGTCGAAGAAATATGCAGTGATTTATATCTTACTTTCAAACTTTTTTAGCGAGTTTCAGAAGTCAAATTCGAGGTAGGAATCTCCGAAAACCCGCAAACAGTATATGATTCCCTTGTCTTCGCTAATCTTCTAAATAAAACAGGGCAGCCATTTGTTAACTCCCAGCTCCATCAGCTTTCCAACGTTTGAAAATTGATTCCTATTCACCTAGCTGAGTCACTTTCCAGCAGGTATATATCATCCGCTGGAGATAATCCCAGATAATTTCATTCTAAGTGAATACTGCGACAGGCTTCCAGGAAAACACAAGGCCCTATACTTCACTGCACGACTCCCTATCGATTTTCAGATGAATAATTGACAACTTGCATATTCCGAGGATGAATACAATGAAGTATACAGGATTTCGCGTATTTTGTGAAATTAATCCAAACATAGCGTGCCAAAATAATAGACATTTTATAAGTGTTTATAATTGATTAGAGATTGATTATGATTCAGGTGATTATAATAATGAATAAGTGTCAAGATATTTTTCAGGAGGTTATGAAATGTTTCGGTAGTCAGTAGATCAATATGCAAATCACGAGATCTTCTGAAAATTCAGTAGAACCGGCAACCCTGTAAAAGTGTTTGCGGATGAAAAGTTAGTTTTGAGAAAACAAAGTTCCTGGCATTTCCAAAAAAAAAACGGAACTCCGCCATATTGGATTGTATGGTTATCGAATCAGAAATGGTTCAGAAAAATCTGTTTACGAATGTAGAAGTTACAGGGGTGACCCGATACCCTGTGTCACTCGGTATATATTATAACAGAGCTTTTGTAACGGAAATAGTATATATTTTCGCATGCGTATAAGACAAAATATTTTGTTGACTCAATACATATATTTTCTCGTGTTGGAAATAAATCTTAATTATCAAGATTTCTATACTTTTTCAAACCACTGATGATATTTACAAATTTGTTATTCAATCAGTTTGGATAATGATATCATCAAAATATAATTTGATAACAATATAGAGTTCACGTAGCCACCCAGCAAACGTTTTGATATGAGACATTAATGGCCTAATATATTTTCCCCATATCTGACATCAGCGGCCCAGTAAATGCGGGACTCTGTATATCAGTACACTGCGGCCGGCTACTGGTCCCAGTGCTGGGTGCCCAGTAATCACATGTAGATCTCCGTCAAAAGGCCAGTACAATATAATCGACACATCGAGATTCCCATACCTCAGCATATACATAAATAATGGGACCAATTATCGACATTGGTTACATACTATCAAGGTAGGGATTTTAGAGGTCCAATGGATCTGAAAGTTCTAGTAACTCTGTATTTCTCAATACAACCCTCTCATCGTATTATATATCGGACAAACACATACCAGATATCAAAGAAAACAATTTTATGAATCACACAATGATGATGAAACTTCAAAGATTGACTGCTTACTGGCTGGTACGTGGTATCTGCATCTACATCTTATCAGGGAGCATTCCTTCAAAATGGATTCTTCGTTGCGAGGATAACGCCTGAAATATTGTATTCATCAGTCTTGAAATCCGAATCAGAATGAAAAAAGAAATACTGTTGCATGAGTTTATTACTTGACCAATAGGTATAGTCTGATAACGTGATAACATATGGAGCTTTTCAATTATTATTATTTTTTGGTACACATCAGGTGTTCCTGTAGTTGGAACCTCATTCTTAATATTCAATTATATAATAAAAACAGGTTCACATAACCTAAGATTGCTTTTGACAGCAACGAACTTGTTAAATATGGTACCTAGTCAAGCTCAACTCTTGCACTAGGGGAAATTGTGCTATTAGAGTTTTTGCTGAGATATTTCTTGCTACCATTACAAGAATTCATATTACCGTTCTACATTTTCGAATAGAAGCAGCACCTTCAAATCCTATGATAGCAATAACGACTTTGCTGAAAGTGAATTTCTTGCCACAGGAAGGTATACTGATGCTGTAGCTATCAGACAGCCACTCTGGGACGCATGATTTTTTTTATAATTGTC